CCGGTACAAGACCGCGTTCAAGACGCGGTACGGGCATTTTGAGTGGGTTGTCATGCCCTTTGGCCTCACCAATGCCCCCGCAACTTTTCAAGCAGCGATGATGACGGAGTTCCGCGACTTGCTCGATCGCAGCGTCCTTATCTACCTTGATGACATCTTGGTTTATAGTAGGACGTTGGACGAGCACATCATACACCTTCGCGTTGTTCTGAATCATCTGCGAATAGCCAAGTACAAAGCAAATCTCGACAAGTGCGAATTCACCAAGCAAGAGCTTGAGTACTTAGGTCATTTTGTCACGCCAAAAGGCATTCGTCCCTTAGCGGATAAAATCCAGGCCATCGTGGATTGGCCGGAACCCCGTTGCACGACGGATGTACGCTCTTTCATGGGTTTAGCTGGATATTATCAGCGATTCGTCGAGTCATACTCGAAAGTGGTCGTTCCTTTGTCGGGACTTCAGTCCCCAAAGGTGCCCTTTGAGTTCGACGACGCAGCCCGTGGCGCGTTCACTACGTTGAAGGCAGCAATGCAAGCCGCACCTTCCCTCCGTATATACGACCCCAGCCTACCCACCCAAGTGACTACGGACGCTTCGGGATACGGTATTGGTGCGGTGTTGGAACAGTGTCACGAGGACGGTTGGCATCCGGTTGAGTATTTCTCCCAAAAGGTGCCTCTAGTCAACACTCTCGACGACGCTAGGAAGAAAGAGCTACTCGCGTTCGTCACCGTTCTCAAACGGTGGCGCCACTTTCTTCTCGGTCGTCGGCGTTTTAAATGGAATATGGACAACAATCCCGTTGACCTTTTATAAAACGCAAGACACGGTCACTAGCACGATCGATCGATGGATGTATTACATCCACCAGTTCGATTTTGATCCGTGCCACATTCCCGGTCCTGCCAATCGAGCTGCGGACGCCCTCTCACGACGGCCCGACTTTTGCGCCATTGTGACCACGGCATTCGACCTCGACGACGATCTGCAGCCGCATTTCGTCGAAGGCTACAAGTCCGATCCGACTTACTCTAAGCTTTACGCGTAGCTTTCATCGGATCACCCGCCGGCTAGCCACTATCGAATTTCCGACGGGTTCCTTCTCCTTCACACGAGAGGAAAGGACTTGTTAGTTGTGCCCCAAGATCGCATCTTACGAACTCGTCTTCTCGGCRAATTCCACGACGCACGACTTTCGGCACACCTTGGCGTGAACCGCACACTAGCACGCCTCCGCCAGCGTTTTCACTGGCCCGACGTCCTTCATGACGTCACGAGGTACATTGAGTCATGTGCAGTTTGCCACCGAAACAAGGGTCGATCTCGAGCCCCCTTCGGCGAACTGAAACCGTTGCCGATCCCTCGGGCACCACGCCTCTCCATTGCTATGGACGTGACAGGCCCGTTTCCCCGCGATCGCCACGACCATGACGGTATTCTCACGGTCGTTGACCGTTTGAGCAAGTATGCTCGCTTCCTTCTTTGCAAGTATCATGCCGCAACGCCTGAGCTCGCACGACTCTTGCACACCGGTTGGATTACCAACCAAGGTGTTCCGGAAGACATAGTGAGCGACCGAGATACTCGTTTCATGTTAGCCTTTTGGACTTCCCTCATGGCTGAGTCCGGTACGACAATGAAACCGAGCTCGGCTCGGCACCCGCAGACGGATGGTCAGACGGAACGAGCGCACCAGACTGCTCAGATGATGTTGCGTACGCTCATCCGTCCCGACCCGAAAGATTGGGTTGACTGGCTTCCCGACATCGAGTTCGCCTATAACACTTCGGTGCACCCGGCGATCTGCGTCACACCATTCGAGTTACATCATGGTGGAGAGAAAGCACGGATCTTCGCTGATCTCCTTTTGCCACAGGCTGCCAACATAGACGCCCCTTGCTCTCCCGCTTCCGTCCGGAAGTACCGGGACTTGCTGATCAAAGCCCGCACAAATATGCAAAAGGCTCAGATCCACATGCAGCAGCAAGCTAACCGACGTCGACTTCCATGTCCTTTCCGCGAGGGAGACCTTGTTTGGGTCCTCTCCGAGGAATTTGCGCTCGAGCAGGACGTTTCGCGCAAACTCCTTCCGAAATGGTTCGGACCATGGGAAGTCACTTCTGCCGTTGGAGACGATCCCGCAGGTCCTTGCTTCGTGATCAACATTCCACCGCACCTGACAGTGCATCGGGTCTTCCACGCATCGAAGCTGGCCATCTACACGCCATCTTCAGATGACGAGTTTCCAGGACGTCGATCACAGGATCCGCCCTCCATGGACGGACATCAGGAAGTGGACCGAGTCATCACGCACCGCAAGTATGGCAACAAGCCAAGGCAGTACAAAGTCACATTCAAGCAATGTGCGCCTGATGACACTCGGGTGGATCTCCAGTACAAATTTGCAAACCTCTGCAGCCCTTATCTTCGCCGACTATGAGAAGCGACGCCTCGCTAAGGACGCAGCTCGTCCCGCCCGACCCACCCCGGTATCAGACAGACAACTTCGCCCTCGCATCTTCGACGCCACACGGGTCCTACCGGACCCGACTTAGGGCTAGAGGGACACATCAGGGCCTAAAGGCCCGACCTTGGGGGTACTACAGGCCATAAAGGCCTTATCCTGGACCAGACCCGACGGGCAGGCCCAAACGACATTACCGTTTGGGCCTGGCAGCGCTCTTGAGGCTGCCGCCCGCCGGTTGGGGCTGAACCGTCCATCTGGACGGTTCAGGGCACAGTCAGGCCTCGTAGCATTGAGGCCGGCCTCTGCCCCACCGGTATATAGAACCGGTCCAGCCTCAGTCCAGCATCGACCTACCGACATTCTACCGGTACGGTATGGTACAGCGCGATACAGCGCTGGCGCTAAGTTTAGCGCAGGAGCAGCGCAGCAGCAGCGAGGGAGCAGCAGCAGCAGCGGCTGGGTGTGCCGGCGGCCATAGCCGCCTGAGGTATCGGGAGTTGGAGGCCTCTCTCCTCCCTCCCCTCGCCAGTCCCCTCTCTCTCTCTCCTCCTCGGCTCCTCCTCCTTCTTCTTCTTCTTCCTCTTCTTCTTCTTCTTTTTCTTCTTCTTCTTCTTCTTCCCCTCTTCAGACTCCATCTCCTTCTTCTTCTTCTTCTTCTTCAGATTGGAGACTTATACTAGTTGGACAGAGATCAGTATCGGACTTCGGTGGTATGAGACTGTGGTACTTACCGGATTGGAGACTTGGAGATTGTTGGGGTTGATACTCGGCTGCATCACAGTTCGGACACCGGTTACATTTGGACTCTGTACCTCCGACATTGGTGACCTGTTATCCTCGACATTTTGATCTTGTTGGATGACATTTTGGACTACCATATCGGTGACCTATCAGATTCTATCTCGGCGACCTTCGGTGCTGTCTACCTCCCCCACCTCCTTCGTCTCTCCTCCCACCTCTCATCTGTGTATGCGTGTACGAGGTCTGGGCATCGTCTATGCWTGGCCCAGACCCCACCATCTCACGATTGTATGTGCGTGGAGTGATTCTTGAGTCAGTCTGTGTGAGTCAGTCTATGTGAGTCAGTCCGTTCATCAGACTTCCGTTGCATATATGCTCATCCTACATTGGTTGATCTTTGGTTCTGCCCATACTCGTTGAAGTATGTAACAGTTTTGGTATCGGAGCAGACCATATAACGGATCTGCTCACAAAGGCGAGTCTGGTTAGGAATTAGATTGCTTTCTCAATCTTCCAAATCAGCGCGGTACTACTATTAAGTTCAAAGTTGCAAAATTTTGTTTCCTTTTTGGTATTCTATGTAGTTCGGCATTTCCGTTCAATTCGGCATTCGGACTTATAATTCGGATTTCTGTTTTCTTCCGCTATGCTGTCTATTTGAGTTCTGATTGAGGGATACTAATCCGATAATTGATTAAGTTTCGGATTTCTGATTTTACACGAATTAGGGTTGAATCAGTATCATGTTGAAATTCGGCGTTTCTGATTTCCATTCAGCATTCCGTTTTTCGGCAT